ATATATATATATATATAACTAAAAATTAATTTAAAAATTACATAAAAAAAAAAAATGATTTAACTTTTGATATATTTTTTGTACTGTCCGTTGTACCAATAAGAGCCAAAAAAAAAAATGAAAGCAATGTTTATAAACTTCTTTTATAAAAAAATAAACTGTGTTGAAAAATTGTATGCAAAAAAGTAAACCAAAATGCAAAATTATATATTTTTTTTTTTATGAAAAAATATTTAAAAACATAAGTTGTAGGCAAATATGTTGAAAAAAAAAAAAAAATTACATATATTTTTTTTTTTTACGGTCAAATATTACGGCTAATTATTAAGGTCAATCATTAAACATATGCTTGATTGAAATATTATAGTTTTATCATTTTTTTACAGATTGTATTTTTTTAAAAAACAAAAAAACATTTAATATGAAAAAAATTGATTATTTTAAATTGTAGTGTACGCACCTTAAAAGGAGCGACAAAAATTTGTGGTATTATGCTTTAAAGTACTTTTTACACGGCAATCTTTAGTAAAAGGCGAAAGATTGATTCGTTATGTAAGAAGTACGCATACCAACAACGATAAAATTATATTACAAACTGATTACTATGTATATTTTTCCATGCAGAAAATGTACCACTCGCATGTTATATGTATAAAATGTATATACATTCGTACGTGTATATATATATATATATATATATATGTATTTTTTTTTTATTTTTTATTTTTTTTTTTTTTGCTATTTATATAAATTATATGTATAAGATATAAAAATATTAATAAACAAAAATGAGCATAAAGCGTCACATATAAATTAAATATACATAGATTTATTTGAAAGTGCGTATAAATTCCATTTTTGTATATATGTAATATATACCATGACATTTATACAGCTAACTAAAAACATAAAAAAAATAATAAAAAAATAATAAAAAAAGAAACCAATCAACACAAATAAATAGTCAAATGTTTTTTTAATGATAAAATGTGGATACAAAAATAAGTACTGATTTATTTTACAAGCAGTAAAAATTAATAAATTTGTAAAACAGCCACATTTGACATATGCATATATATATATATATATGTGTATATACATCCATTTATGTTTTAAATAAGCTAAAATTAAGGTATATAAATTGTTTGAACAAATATATTTTACATTTTTTACTACAAAATAAAAACTTATTTCATGCCGTTTTTGCTAATCGCTTAATCAACTTCAACCTGTTTTTTATTTCTACCGCAAAAGTAAACATTTTCTAAAATTATCAACTATCTGCTAAAAAAACATCCTAGCGTTTTTTCTCATATTTTTTTTTCTCATATTTTTTTTTCTCATATTTTTTTTTCTCACTTATTTTTTTCTCCAATATAATTGAAATGTTATCACTTAAAAAAGAACATTTAAAAAATAAAAATTAAAGTTATTATTTTAAGTCTCATACATATATATATGTATGTTTGTGCATACGTTTTGTATTTTTGTTTTATAAACTAACTTAGAATTTTTGTTAAAAAAAAAAAAATAAGCAAATTAATTCACACTGTATATAAAAAATGTAAAAATTTTGGTTGCAAGTATGCATAATAAACAGTGTAATATTTCATCTTTAAAAATGCACATATACATGCTTAAATGAGTTGTGCCAACATATATGTATATATATATGTGTTACCCTATATGTATATATATATGTGTTACCCTATATGTATATATATATGTGTTACCCTATATGTATATATATATGTGTTACCCTATATGTATATATATATATGTGTCTATATATATATATGTGTCTATATATATATGCATACAGTTCTAAATATTTCATAAGTTTTAAATAACTAAACAAATGATAAAATATAAAAAATAGTTTTTTTTTTTTTTTTTTTTTTTTTTTTTTTTTTTTTTTTTTTT